AGGGTGGTTGTCCCACTGGCTATCCTAAGTTGAATGCACCAATTTGTAAGTCGCTTTGGATAAGAGCGTCTGCTAAATGACTTACATTTTTAATCTTAAATAATGCTTGAGAAGCTGGTGTTTGGTGGATATACTGGCACGGGTGTTGTTAGGCCCGAGACGAAGTCCCGACACAAATCTAGGGTTGCTACTTAAGCCGGTTGGTCGTTCGTTCTATCGGTTCGGTTGCTAGAGATGCAACCCAGTCGTTCAGTCTTTTTGTTCGCGACCATTGCCATACTGGCTGGCAATGTTCTTATCCCTTGCTTGCTAACTAGCCAACTACGGCAAATTTACAGTCACATCAAACAGTGCAGCCAGAATAACAACAGTAGCTGCATTTGCATTTGTTTAAGATGTTTTCTAGTGACATTTATTTGGACACATCCATAACAATTAGCTAATGAGGCGTGATTTCGCCTGGCATAGAACATGTGCTCTCTCGTCAGGACACTGTTGTTCAGAGGAGCTAGCCAACAACACATCTAACACAATCACTTCAAACTGAAGCTGGAAAGACTGCAAACTAGCTGCACTTCGTTTAGTAAAAAAAAAAAAAATCTATTAACATTTCTTTGTATATATCCATAAAAATGATGCCAGCTGATTCATGATTTTGACTGGCTGAGAAATGCTGCCTGCCTGTCTGTCTAGGCCCGACTCCCGACACGTTCATTACTATGGGACAGCTGGAGATTGAATTTAAATATTGAAACCATGTTGCAAATGTCGGAGAGATAGACAGCAAAGGTTTATACAAATCTCCGCTGTTGAAAATGAAATGTTAGTCTAAAAGAAATGTGAGATAATGTCTGGATGCTTTTTATAGTGGAGATCAAGTTTATAAATTGCCTGGCTGGGCTGATGAGACAGTGGATTGCGCAGTCAAATGGAACAGAATAAATAGTCATTTTAACATCGTAGATTTAGCCGGTGGTAACTTGTGGAATAGACACCGGCTGGAATGGAGGAGGAAGCTTTGAATCGGTCAGTAGCATACAGAGTAATATATGAAGAGTGCAATTGCTGAACTTATGTAGATATTCTAAACAAAGTGTTTTGATAACTTTCAAGTGTAACAGTTCCATGTAGAATAAACCATCCTTCACATAACACTGTAGAAGCAGTGTTCTGCTGATATAACAATGTGCAAATATTACACTTGTCTTCCATCTTCTATTGTCATTCCCAAGCAATACAGAGACTGGACCTATTAGCATTTTGGCTGGTGGTGCATGTTAGTCGTCATCCCTTCATATAGTGTCCCATATTAGACAGTTCCCTGACATGTTTGAAGAATACACAGGACCCCCCCCCCATACCATTCAATTCAATTAATTTCAATAATAACAAAAGATGATGAAAAGTAATAGATGTGTCTTGTATATTTTTAATGCTGAGTGCAAGGTCTCTGTCCCAGTTCAGACATCTGTATCAACCTGTCTTTTAGTCAGGGGACTCCATGACAAACCATCTCTCCTGTCCTCCACCTGTAGTAAAACAAGGTAGAGTTGATACACACAGCACTGATTACATTATCAATGGTTGTTAGGTCAAATTCCAGGACAGACAAGTGATAAATAGTTTGACCTGTGACCAGATCAAATGTGACCACCCTGAAGTGGGACTGGTTTCTGGCCACGTACTGCCTCAGCCTTCTGCTCCTGATATGGTAGGGGGGTTCCCACGACACTGCTGAACAGCAAATCCACCAGGTTTTGTAAGTAGCCTTTGAATGAAATAAAATACACTACATGGCCAAAAGTATGTGGACTTTCAAATTAGTGGATTTGGCTATTTCAGCCATACCCGTTGCTGACAGATGTATAAAATCGAGCACACAGCCATGCAATCTCCATAGACAAACATTGCCAGTAGAATGACCCGTACCGAAGAGCTCAGTGACTTTCAACGTGGCACCGTCATAGGATGTCACCTTTCCAACAAGTCAGCTCGTCATATTTCTGCCCTGCTAGAGCTGCCCCGGGCAACTGTAAGTGCTGTTATTGTGAAGTGGAAACGTCTAGGAGCAACAACGGCTCAGCCACGAAGTGGTAGGCCACACAAGCTCACAGAACGGGACTGCCCAGTGCTGAAGCGCGTAGCGCGTACAAATCTTCTGTCATCAGTTGCAAAACTCACTACCGAGTTTCAAACTGCCTATGGAAGCAACATCAGCAGAAGAACTGTTCGTCGGGAGATTCATGAAATGGGTTTCCATGGCCGAGCAGCCGCACACAAGCCTAAGATCCCCATGCGCAATGCCAAGCATCGGCTGGAGTGGTGTAAAGCTCGTCGCCATTGGAGCAGTGGAAACACGTTCTCTGGAGTGATGAATCACGCCTCACCATCTGGCAGTCCGACGGATGAATCTGGGTTTGGCGGATGCCAAGAGAACACTACCTGCCTCAATACATAGTGCCAACTGTAAAGTTTGGTGGAGGAGGAATAATGGTCTGGGGCTGTTTTTCATGGTTAGGACTAGGCCCCTTAGTTCCAGTGAAGGGAAATCTTAACGCTACAGCATACAATGACATTCTAGATGATTCTGTACTTCCAACTTTGTGGCAACAGTTTGGGGAAGGCCCTTTCCTGTTTCAGCATTACAAAGCGAGGTCCATACAGAAATGGTTTGTCAAGATCGGTGGAAGAGCTTGACTGGCCTGCACAGAGCCCTGACCTCAACCCCATCGAACACCTTTGGGATGAATTGGAACGCCGACTGCGAGCCAGGCCGCCCTACATCAGTGCCTGACCTCACTAATGCTTTTGTGGCTGAATGGAAGCAAGTCCCCACAGCAATGTTCCAACATCTAGTGGAAAGCCTTCCCAGAAGAGTGGATGCTGTTATAGCAGCAAAGGGGGGACTAACTCCATATTAATGCCCATGATTTTGGAATGAGATGTTCGACAAGCAGGCGTCCACATACTTTTGGCCATGTAGTGTATCATCAGTCAATAAACATATAGCGAGAAAAAATAATTTTCTCTAGTTTATCTACAGAATAGATTCAGGGCATTGACACTGATACTATGCAACCAGCTATGCAACCCGGCTTTGAGGCATGCATGCCCCCGTCCTCTATGTGTGACATTTGGACAAGCTCTGTTTGCCGGAAAATGGCTGCTGGCTAAGGACGCTTCTGGGACATATGCAGAGTTTACTTTTCTCTCCTTACTTTAATTGCTGTTTGATCTGGCTTTGGAATTTAGCATTTTTACCGGCATCTTGGTTTTGTCTTTGCCCAACGTTTTTCGTTCAGCTTTTCGCTTAGGGCGTTTTTATCTGCTCCACCACGCACCTGTCTTGTAAGGTTGAAAGCAGGTGTGACAGCTACTCCTGTTGCCTGCTGCACTGCTGCTTTGATCCCATCCGGCAATCTTCTCCCCATCTGCCCTGGCCTCTCCCCCTATCTAGTACAGGTACCCCCGCCTCTCTCTCTCTCTCTCTCTCTCTCTCTCTCTCTCTCTCGCTCTCTCTCTCTCTCTCTCTCTCTCTCTCTCTCTCTCTCTCTCTCTCTCTCTCTCTCTCTCTCTCTCTCTCTCTCTCTCTCTCTCTCTCTCTCTCTCTCTCTCTCTCTCTCTCTCTCTCTCTCTCATCCAGCACACACGCACATACACACACCACAGACTTTGGACTGATCTGAATTTTATGTAGGCTAATTAACTTGTGAATCTTATTATGTGAGCTTTACTCAGAAACGCTTTAATTAACTAGCATAGGCCTACTATTTATTTATTTTATCTCAGACTTTTATAGCCTACTGGATTCATAGAGAGCTACTCTCACGTTATTTTGTTGGGGCGAGTGACTTTTTGAACTTACAATGGCTAGCCCCAAGCCAATTTACTTTTTTCTTGTGCTTTGTGCTATTTACTCCATAACTCCTGCACGCTTTGTTGACTATGAACTTGCTCGTTTACCCGACCGTGGGACAGACAATGTTTGTTCCCACACTCGCGACTTGGCATCCCATCCTTTTCTAACTCCCTCTCGGTGGCTTTGTATTCATGTTACCTGATGAAATTGCTGTACAATATGATCTTGTCGTGCTTGTCTCCACCCCCTCCAGGTGTCGCCCATCTTCCCCATTATCCCCTGTGTATTTATACCTGTGTTTTCTGGTTGCCTGTTGCCAGTTCGTCTTGTCAAGCCTACCAGCGTTTTTCACGTACTCCTGTTTTGCTCTAGCCCCTGTGTTCCTGTTTTTGACCATTCTGCCTGTCCTGATCCTGAGCCTGCCTGCCATTCTTTACCTTGTGACACTGTTCTGGATTACTGACCTCTGCCTGCCCCTGACCTGTTCTTTGCCTGCCCCCTGTTTTTGTAAATACATTTTTGCTATTTCGACTGCTGATGATATATGGAAATGTGCATGCACACCCTGGCCCGTCTACTGTTGCTATATTACAGCCTGGCCCGTCTACTGTTGCTATAGTACAGCCTGGCCCGTCTACTGTTGCTATAGTACAGCCTGGCCCGTCTACTGTTGCTATAGTACAGCCTGGCCCGTCTACTGTTGCTATAGTACAGCCTGGCCCGTCTACTGTTGCTATAGTACAGCCTGGCCCGTCTACTGTTGCTATAGTACAGCCTGGCCCGTCTACTGTTGCTATAGTACAGCCTGGCCCGTCTACTGTTGCTATAGTACAGCCTGGCCCGTCTACTGTTGCTATAGTACAGCCTGGCCCGTCTACTGTTGCTATAGTACAGCCTGGCCCGTCTACTGTTGCTATAGTACAGCCTGGCCCGTCTACTGTTGCTATAGTACAGCCTGGCCCGTCTACTGTTGCTATAGTACAGCCTGGCCCGTCTACTGTTGCTATAGTACAGCCTGGCCCGTCTACTGTTGCTATAGTACAGCCTGGCCCGTCTACTGTTGCTAGCCCCAATTCGGACTTTCTGATCTCGTAAAAGTCGGGGTTTTCTGCACATTAAGACTAGAAGCTTATTACCTAAAATGTATCAATTGAAAGTGTTGGTTCACCGCTCCAATGCAGATGTGTTGGTCATTACTGAGACATGGTTAGACAAGAGTGACTTTCTGGTTAGAACCTTTTTCGGCAAGACAGATCTTCCAAAGGTGGTGGAGTGGAAATCTTTACAAAGGAACACCTTCAGTGCTCGGTTGTCTCCACTAAGTCTGTCCCCAAACAATTTGATTTGCTGGTTTTAAGCATTACACTTTCAAATAGCTCTTTGTTGACTGTTGCTGGGAGCTATTGTCCACCATCAGCACCGGCCTGTACCCTACCTGCCCTAAGCTCTCTCCTGGCCCCTTACACTGAGTCTGAATGTGTCTTGCTAGGTGCTTAAACCACCTGACTAAGTCTTAAAACAATGGGACTCCCTAAATCTCTCTCAGATTATTACCAATCCCACAAGGCATGACTCCAAACACCCATAAAAAGGCTACTCGATGTTATCCTCACAAATAATCCTGATAGGTCTCAGTCTGGTGTTTAGTGACCACCTTAGTGATCACTGTTTTACGGCCTGTATTCATAATGGCTGCTGAGTTAAACGACCTGTCCTGATTTGTAATGAGCAAGCCTTCCTTCATGACCTAGCCTCTGTAAATTGGTATAGATAAGGGGATCCTGGCACCGACGAATTTGCGGTATTTTGTTTTTTTATGTATTATTTTTTACATTATTAGCTCAGAAAATGTTTTGTATCATTACATACAGCCGGGAAAAACTATTGGATATCAGAGTGGCGGTAACTCACCAGCATTACGACCAGGAATACGACTTTCCCGAAGCAGATCCTTTGTTTGCTCTCCCCAGAGCAATTGAACTGATTCCAGCGGCTGGCCCAAAACATCGCTGGCGGAGGAGAGGCACTCGGAGCGGCCTGCTGGTTCGACTTAGGAGGCGCGCACACCACCCACCGCTTCCAAGTATACTACTCGCTAACGTTCAGTCTCTGGTTAACAAGGTCGACGAGCTCCAGGCAAGGATTTCTTTCCAGAGAGACAACAAGGCCTGTAACATACTTTGTTTCACGGAAACATGGCTCTCTGGGGATATTCTGTCGAAATCGGTCCAGCCAGATGGGTTCTCAGTTCATCGCGCAGACAGGAATAAATATCTCTCCGGGAAGCAGAAGGGCGGAGGTGTGTGTTTCATGATTAACGACTCGTGGTGTAATTGTACCAACATACAGGAACTCAAGTCCTTTTGTTCACCCGACCTAGAATACCTCACTATCAAATGCCGACGTATTATCTCCCAGGATAATTTTATTTGGTTATAGTCACGGCCGTTTATATCCCCCCTCACGCTGATACCACAACGGCCCTCAAAGAACTTCACTCGACTTTATGCAAACTGATTGTTTTGATCACGCGTACTGGGATATGTTCCGGGTAACTTGTAATTTTTTTGACGAATACACTGAAACAGTGACTGAGTTTATCAGGAAGTGTATAGGTGATGTTGTGCCCACTGTGACTATTAAAACCTACCCTAACCAGAAACCGTGGATAGATGGCAGCATTCGCGCAAACCTGAAAGCGCGAACCACCGCATTTAACCATGGCAAGGTGACTGGGAATATGTCAGAATACAAACAGTGTAGCTACTCACTCCGCAAGGCAATTAAACTGGCAAAACATCAGTATAGAGACAAAGTGGAGTCGCAATTCAACGGCTCAAACATGAGGCGTTTGTGGCAGGGTCTACAGACAATCACAGACTACAAAAGGAAAACCAGCTACGTCGCCGACACCGATGTCTCGCTTCCAGACAAGCTAAACACCTTCTTCGCCCGCTTTGAGGATAACACAGTGCCACCGATGAGGCCCACTACCAAGGACTGTGGCCTCTCCTTCTCTGTGGCCAACGTGAGTAAGACATTTAAGCATGTTAACCCCCGTAAGGCTGCCGGCCTAGACGTCATCCCTAACCGCGTCCTCAGAGCATGCACTGACCAGCTGGCTGGTGTGTTTACGGACATATTCAATATCTCCCTTTCCCAGTCTGCTGTTCCCACATGCTTCAAGATGGCCACCATTGTTCCTGTACCCAAGAAAGCAAAGGTAACTGAACTAAATGACTATCGCCCCGTAGCACTCACCTCTGTCATCATGAAGTGCTTTGAGAGACTAGTCAAGGATCATATCACCTCTGTCTTACCTGTCACCCTAGACCCACTTAAATTTGCTTACCGCCCCAATAGATCCACAGACGATGCAATCGCCATCACACTGCACACTGCCCTATCCTATCTGGACAAGAGGAATACCTATGTAAGAATGCTGTTCATTGACTATAGTGATTCCATGTCTATGTACTGTACATAGGGCAGCAGTCTCTATGGTTCAGGGTTGAGTAACCGGGTGGTAGCCGGCCAGAGACAGTCAAGCTGGTTAGCTTTAGAAAACCCTGAGTAGATCTAGCTTGCTTCGTAGAATACCCCTCAGGTCTTGACAGGACATAGGAGCAATTTGGAAATAACAAATGATGAAATGTGAATTTGTGCAGTCAGTGCACTATTGAATGCAGACTGTAGCCGGTACTAAGAAAACACACATGCTGCTGTACGTCTGTCTACATGAACTCCTATATTGTTTTGTTTTTACACGCTTTAATTTTACTCCACGGTTTTATGGTGCGTAACAGACTAAAATGACCACTTATTGTAGACCAAACTGCCGGCATCCTGTTCCTGAAATGTCCTGTTGTGACATTATTTGTTTGTTCAATTCCACAGCCAGAATCCCTTTAACAAGAATCCCTTCATTTCCTCAATAACAAGACAAACAACATACTGGAGCTGTCAAGGGAGCTGAAGGTCAATAGAAAGGTCCATAGAGGTGTTATAGCAACGAGTTAGTAGAAAAACATTTGAAAAAAAGTAATAAATCAGTGTGTGTTTGGATGTGTGTGCGCGCGCCTGCCTAGGTGTATGTGTGTGCGTCTGTATTTACATGTGTGAATGCCGCCTGGTTAGGCGGGTCAGCTGGACATTTTAAACAGACAATTCCACAGGCTGGCTGAGCCAATGGTGCATGGTAGGAGAAAAGAAAATGTTGTATGATGTGCCCCTTTTCATTCTATCAACTGCTAGTGTGGGAAAACCCTCTGTTCTGCCGTTGAACTGTCTGTGATGATTCCATTGTCTCTTTTATCCTTTATTCAATAGAAAATACGTCATTAAGTCACACTATCATCAGAAGAGCAGTATTGGCCCCTATGGTAGAATACTTAAACTCACTCACCCATTGCAATGGCTGTGGTCAATAGCTTGAAAATCCCTATGTCACAGTGGATAACAAAGCCCCAGCATCTTTAACACACAATGCTTTAAAGAAGCTATATGTAATATTTTTGCATTGTAATTTCAGAAAATGTCCTTAATATATCTACAGTAATGGTGGAATGATAGTGTTTGACAATATTTTCCCCACAAAATGTTAATGGTGTTAAGAATTAACAAAAATTCAGGAGAGGGGACCAGACTTGAATGCAACACTTTAACTATTAGTTGCCTTGAATGCAGCTCCTCAACAAGCATCAGCTATAACTCATTGCTAATCAAATAAATAAAAATGTGTCACATGCTTCGTAAACAACAGGTGTAGACTAACAGTGAAACGCTTACTTACATGCCCTTCCCAACAATGCAGAGAGAAAAATATATAAATAATAATCAGCCTCCACACCTGTCGTTACTAGCCGTAGCTAATCACCCCTGCCACCCTACTTAAACCTGACCAAACTAACATTCCTCCTCTTGTTCTGCAGTGTTGCATGACAATGTGTGTTACTAGCCTTATCAAGTCTTGCATCCCACCTTTTATCTAGTATATCTTAGGTTCTTCTGATGATGTCCTTGGGGGATTGCCATCACCACAGCAGCCTAACTATCACGGCCTGATGATGATGTCTGTCTGAGACAAAGAGTCCACACCCCCAGATCCATTCATCTGCAGCCCTCTGCTTCATCCGCTCTCATTCCCCTCATTCTCACGTCCATTCCATTTCCTCAATAAATATTAGAAACCCATTTCAATGTCTGGTCTCCATTTCAATTTTGCATCTTCAAAGTGGTATGTTGTGTAAATCAAATGATACAACCCCCCCCCCCCCCCCCCCCCCCAAAATCAATTTTAATTCCAGGTTGTAAGGCAACAACATAGGAAAAAAGCCAAGAGGGGTGAATACTTTCAAGTATTTTTGATACACTGCCGATTTTGCAGGTTTTCCTACTTACAAAGCATGTAAAGGTCTGTAATTTTTATCATAGGTACAATTCAACTGTGAGAGACGGAATCTAAAACAAAAATCCAGAAAATCACATTGTATGATTTTTAAGTAATTCATTTGCATTTTATTGCATGACATAAGTATTTGATACATCAGAAAGGCAGAACTTAATATTTGGTACAGAAACCTTTGTTTGCAATTAAAGAGATCATACATTTCCTGTAGGTCTTGACCAGGTTTGCACACACTGCAGCAGGGATTTTGGCCCACTCCTCCATACCGACCTTCTCCAGATCCTTCAGGTTTCGGGGCTGTCGCTGGGCAATACGGACTTTCAGCTCCCTCCAAAGATGTTCTATTGGGTTCAGGTCTGGAGACTGGCTAGGCCACTCCAGGACCTTGAGATGCTTCTTACGGAGCCACTCCTTAGTTGCCCTGGCTGTGTGTTTCGGGTCGTTGTCATGCTGGAAGAACCAGCCACGACCCATCTTCAATACTCTTACTGAGGGAAGGAGGTTGTTGGCCAAGATCTCGCGATACATGGCCCCATCCATCCTCCCCTCAATACGGTGCAGTCGTCCTGTTCCCTTTGCAGAAAAGCATCCCCAAAGAATGATGTTTCCACCTCCATGCTTCACGGTTGGGATGGTGTTCTTGGGGTTGTACTCATCCTTCTTCCTCCAAACACGGCGAGTGGAGTTTAGACCAAAAAGCTCTATTTTTGTCTCATCAGACCACATGACCTTCTCCCATTCCTCCTCTGGATCATCCAGATGGTCATTGGCAAACTTCAGACGGGCCTGGACATGCGCTGGCTTGAGCAGGGGGACCTTGTGTGTGCTGCAGGATTTTAATCCATGACGGCGTAGTGTGTTACTAATGGTTTTCTTTGAGACTGTGGTCCCAGTTCTCTTCAGGTCATTGACCAGGTCCTGCCGTGTAGTTCTGGGCTGATCCCTCACCTTCCTCATGATCATTGATGCCCCACGAGGTGAGATCTTGCATGGAGCCCCAGACCGAGGGTGATTGACCGTCATCTTGAACTTCTTCCATTTTCTAATAATTGCGCCAACAGTTGTTGCCTTCTCACCAAGC